ATGGATGGATGGATGGATGGATGGATGGATGGATGGATGGATGATGGATGGATGGTGGATGGAAGGGTAGATGGATGGGTGGGTGGATGGATAGGTGGATGGATTGATGGATGGATGATTGTTCTTTTGAACATTTAACCCTTAGTTTCCTAATTGCAAAGCAAGAAAACCTCTTCTTTTTGTAACTTTGTATCATCCACCAGGTCCTTGCTCTAAATTTTTAGATGTGTTTTCAGAGTTTCTATCTGATTTGGTGTTAAATACTGACAGGGTCATCATAGTGGGGGATTTTAACATCCTTGCTGGGGTGGTTGGGTCCTGTTAAACCCAGAATACAATTTAAAATCCTCCTTCTCACATATAAACCCCTAAATGGCCAAGAGCCATCTTATGTCAGAAATATGATTGTTCCTTATGTTCCTAACAGAGCACTTCACTCTCAGTCTGCAGGTTTACTAGTGGTTCCTAGAATTTATTCCTGTGGAACCAACCCACAGTATGGTACTTGGTTCCACAAGAGCCTATCCTGTCTACTTTTAAGGGTAGGCTTAAAACTTTCCTTTTTTATAAAGCTTATAGTTAGTGTGGCTCAGGTTATCCTGAGCTATCTCTATAGTTATGCTGCTATAGGCTTAGACTTCTGGAGGACATAGAAACCCCTTTTTCATCATTCTGCCTCATTCTATCTCTATCTTCCCACTGCAGAATATGTTAGTTTAATCTCTACTATTATGCTCTCTCTGCTTTTTGTCATAGCAGCTTCGCCTCATCTGTTCCTGTTCGGCTGTGACACTATCCTGGAGAGAAATATCAGCTGTGCTGCTGCCATCAAAACCTTTGTTTTTAGATGTTGGTGATTGGCCTGTTTTTCAGTGTAGTCCTGTTTCTCTGACTGTGACTAGCTGGATTTGCCCTTTTCATCCTCTGACATTAGGGCTAGCTCGGAGCTCATCTGCCTGGCTGTGTGTTTCCTGGACGTGGGCAGAATTTTACAGTTACCATTTTTATCTCTGCTTCTGTCTCCTTGAGCCCCTGTCGCCCTCGGCAGATGGCCGCTCATAGTGAGCCTGATTTTTCTGGAGGTTTCTTCCCGTTAAAAGGGAGTTTTCCCACTCTACTATTGCTACAGGCAGGCTTAGTGTGAGGGATTGCTTTTGGGTCAATGAGTCAATGCAATCAACTGGTTTTCCTT